ATTTTAGAACAAATCCTATAAATACTGTTGTTGGTTTTTTTTTTTTACTGATATACTGCTTAAAATATTTCTAGAAATACAAAATATGTATTTTTTAGTTGAAGTTATTGTATAACGTTTCAAGTACACAATATTTCTAATTTTTTAATTTTTTAAGTATTGGCGCTTTAGCTATGAAACCTTCTAAGTTCGAAAAAAACAAAAATGACAATATTTATACTATTTACAATATACAATATATATGTGTGAATGACGAAATGTCTCTAGAATAACGAGTTAATACTTCTTTTTATAATTATATAAGTATTTAGATTTTACTTATGCCACCATTAACTATTTTATAATATTATTTGTAGGTTTTTTATTATAAACATTTGTTTAATATCATATTCGTTGTACATATAATTACAAAGCATGTTTTATTTTTTATTGTAAAGCAAATACAATGTAATTTTAACTAGATATAAAGCTGTCATTGGTAAATATTTTCGATTCCGTTTAGAGTATATAAATCTATCAGGATTTCAGTCATCAAATTAAAATATATTAAAGATAAATATCTTCAATCGCGTTAAATAATAACTACCTCAGAATAAAAAATCTATATATGTATATTTTTAAATCGCATACATTGAAATACCATCATCGGGCAGTACGAGAAAAAAAGTATTAAGAATATGTATGTATAATAAATCGGGTTGAAGAAAAATTAAATGCATGAAATATACGTGATTTAATATATAAATAAATAATATTATGTTTATTTTTATATTTATTGTTATATTGTAACAATGATCTTTTTTCTCAGAGAACAATTCACAACGAGATTTCCCATCCCTGACCTAATCTAGGCAATGAAAGGATGGGTTGGGTGTGGTTACGATTTAAAGACACCAGGACCAAGTCTGTTGGGTTGTTTCAACTTTACGGCCTATAACTTCAAGATGGCCCCTTACCGTACAACTCCTGTCTGGGCTGTAATCAGCTTATCTCCTCTGCAGATATTGTAGCAAAAAGGTAACTTTTATTTTCCAAACTTATCGGAATTTTTAGTTGAATATTTAGGCAAAGCGTTATAACTGAAATTCTTAAAGATCTTTTTAAATAAACTTCTTCTGCCAATTTATCACCTCTTTTATTATTAACGACAGATAACATAAATATACAAAATACGATTTTGGCAATTAAAATTACCGCAAAGTATAAAATTGTAAATATGTAAACGGATTCACTAATAACGAACTATATACTCTAAAAATACAACTTTTTTTTAAGTTATCACAGTATATTTTATTTAATTTAAGAAACCATTCAAGTAATTAATCAAAAAAATTCTGATGCTTTGAAGAATGTTTGAGATTTGATTCAATAAAGATAAATTTTTTCTTCTATAAATCATTATGCAAATTATCATGTTATATCAACTGGAGTGATTGTTAAAATTGGCCATAACAATATTTATATATATATATATATATATATATATATATATATATATATATATGTGTGTGTGTGTGTGTGTGTGTATATATAATATTTTATTTTTACTACTTCACATTAAAAAAAGTTTACATAAGTTCAAAAATATCTATCAGAAATCTCAAATAATTATTTAAAAGTTATAATAAATATAAACTACAAATTTATCACTTAAAATAATTATTTCAAAAGTTAATATACTATAATATAATTTTAATCAATTCATTTTTGTTTTAGAAGGTGAAGAAAATATAATACTGATTAAGAACCAGGAGTTGGAGAAAGTCAGCAATAAAAATAAATTTATTGTTTTATTCCGTCGATAGAAAAAAAAAAATCTTGAAATTATCACGAAATATATATTTTTTTTATATTATTTACAAATGTATTTTTAAGAACTATTTATTTTACTTATATAATATTATTTTAATATTCATGCAATGTAATCTGATTTGAATAAAATTGAAACAAATAACATTCCTTTAAACCTAGAAAAATAATGAGGTAAGTAATTTTATATATAATATATAAATGATATTTATTGTTTTATTATAAAAAAATATTTTATACTTCAATAGCTCTAGTTGTTATTTTAAAAAAAAATAATTATTTATTAAATTTACAGGTTATTCTTATTGGAGATAGTCATTTGATGTTAATATTTAACGATTAGAATTTTTATTGTAAGTGTTTGTTCCAAAGATAATTATTTCAAAATATTCAACTATTTCTCTACTAATGCAGGGTGTTCTAGCTACAATGTAGTCGGAAATGAACGTATCGGATCCCCACAAAAAAGTTTAGGCGGTGTCCCCTAGTCTGATACTGTCAGCCTGGAAATAAGTGTAAATTTTCAATAATTAACAACATTAATTAATATAATGATATACATACACGTATATTTATCAAACTAATTTCATCTTCCATTTTCGTTATTTTAAATATATTTAATACTCGAAAAAAAAAAAATGTAAATACATAAAAGTAGTGCAAAAATATTCTTATATAGGAAGTATTTTTTTCTTAGAGATTGTACATATAATGTATGTATATATATATATATATATATATATATATATATATATATATATATATATATATATATTGATTTTTAATACATATAGAACAGGAACCAAAAAATACCGACTTATCGTTTTGATTATTGAATCTTTTTTTATAAATTACTATTCTTTAATGTTCACGAATCATGAAATTCTTAGCACCGATTTGTTGGAACCATAATAAGAAGGTTTTTAAACTATCGTTGAATTTTTGGCGGCATTTGGATTTTGTTATACCCTTAACTTTTTATTAATATTATCAAAAAATTAGGGAAATATCTGAGCCAAAGGGGTATTAAAATGCTTTTTATTTATTTTATTTATAGTTTTGTTTGTTATTTGATTATGTTTGTTATTATTTATATAAAATAATAAATTTAAGAATAACTACATAAACACGCATACCTTATACCTGATTAAATTATATAAATCGTACTATATTAAATATACTTGATATAAATATTTGTATATATTTCTCTTACATGGTATATTGTTACTATGGAGGACTTAAATAAATAATATTAAATATATATAACCATTGAAATATAACATATTTAAATTACACGAAAACAATCTGATTTTACTCAGTTTCAGTAGTATGTATTTTATATGTGAAACAATCATATATATATATATATATTAATTTATTTTACTATTATATAACAAAATATTTTTCGGAGTAATAAAAATTTTGAAGGTATAAGTTTATGGTCATGAGCATCATAATTTTAAATCGGGTTAAAGAATATGAATTTTATATTTATTTATACATTTTCATAACTCGCAACAGTAAATGAAAAATTACATAGAGATCCTAGTGTTAATTTTTTTTTTTGTGATTTTAATTCTAGTGAGAAATGATTTTTATTTTCATTAGTTTTACCATTTATTTATTTATTTTTTTTTTTTACGGATTGTGAAGTAAAACGAAGGGATTTCTAATGAGCTCCTTACTCCTGCAATTAACATGAAGAGGAACAGATGTCAGATCTTGTTTCAAATTTCTTGGCGATGTACCAAGAACTATGACAGAAGGAAAAACAAGAATAGAATCCAGGTCATTCACAAGCAGACTGAATAGTAATTATTACTTCTGCCTCGTTCCGTCTTATTTATGAATCAAAGGGCTCTCTATAAATATACTTACGATTAGTTCCTTCTGAAAGGAACTGATACAAGAGTACGAAAATAATTTTGAATGAGATCTTTTATGGTCATACTAATTTTAAATACCTAATTGGTAGGATGAGATATCTTCGAACAATAATTATTGCTATAATTATTAATAATTGTTTATTCTATAAAGTATCATTTAATTAGTTCGTAACATATATTAATTAATGTGTACTGATGAATAAAAAAACAAAAAATAATCACTATCTAAAATATAAATACATCAGGAAAATAAAAACTTCAAAACTATATCAATTTATTTTAACCACATAATTCTAGTCTCTGAGCTCTATACACAGAAATAGATTTAAAAGTACATATTGTCGATTTTTTGCGAAGTCATTAAGTGGCAGTTCATGACCTTAAATAACTAAGTACTTTGAAGAATTGTCCGAAAACGAGCACTTGTAAATATATTTGGTATATAAATGATTTTGTTTCATTTAGTTACTGTGATTTTGTGTCTAAAAAATAAAGTAGAAATTCACAACATATCTGAAAGGTAACCTATATCAAAAATGCACTTGGTGACTTTTTGCAATAAACCAACGATATATTTAATCTATCAATAAGTAAGGATTGTACTTCACAGTTAAAATTATAGAAGCTAAACTCTACCACTTTTTATAAGTATTTGAACTCTTATTTTTTTTTCGTGTAAAATATACCAAAATACAGTAACGAGCTTTTCTATGCATCATTGTTCAAAAATCGTCAGTAACACTAATTGTAAGTAGAAATGAACAAATGCTATTCTGAGTACTGAGTACCAAGTATTTTACACAAATACAGACCTTTTTTGAATTCAAAAGAATTTAATTACTACTTCTGTTGATTACTCGGTACTCATTTGCCCCTCTCTTATTTAAGTGGATAATGTTATGATTTCACAGATGACAGATTCATCAAATTATTCACTAATTTAATTTTATAAAATGTTAGTTTCAGAAAAATTAAACTTAAATATATAAATTTTTATTATAATTTAAGTACCTTAATTTAATTCAATGAATAAACAATGACCTGATTATATTGATATTTACATCAACAACTTTTTTAAAGAATCCAAGCTACCTATTATCATTACAATTTGTATTCTAATACCAATACATTAAATAATAATAAAATTATTTCATTATCGAATACAACATTATCATACACATTGACATATTAACACACTTACACAAAAACAAAAATTAATTTTTAAAATCTCTGTTCAGTCCATGTCATGAGGTTATTGAATCGTTGTTAAAACCGTTCTTGACCTCACAGTTTATCGTTAACGTTTCAAATTTTTTTCTTCAATATGAATTGTTTACTCAGACATGATGGATCGCCGATAGTCCGAAAATACCACTCACGTAAGTAGTTATTCATAGAATTCTAATTTAAAAAATATGCGCTTATTTCTTACTAAATTCATAAAGCTATTATAAAAAGAACTCAATTGCATACAATATTTTAGTAGAAAATATTGCATAAAGTCACAAAGCACGATGAAGTTTTGATGTCAATGAAGTTTTAATGTTAATGAATTTTTATGTACGCTTTTGTGTACTACAACTTTATTTAATGATACGAAAATACAGAAAGGGCAAAAACATGACACAAGTCATTTTAAATATCTAAATTAGTTGCAATAGATGCACAATGTTCTGGTTTAAAAGAAGAAGAATAATTTTTGACAAAAAAAAAAAAAAAAAAAATGGTCCAAACTATAAAAATATAGCCTATAAATAAATGCCTATATCATTTAATCTGTATGAATTAAAACCGGATTCAGTGAATCAAAATATTTTCTTAAATATCTTTCTATTGATTTTACTTTCACTTGCCTTTTATGGAATATATTAATCCGAGTTTGTTTCAATAACTTACCAAAAAAATATTTTATTATAGGCACATCCTACTACATATTTTAACTTTATGATGTTCATAATAACAATAATGGCATTCAAGTGAAAAAAAAATTATTCAGGCTTACAACGGATGAATTAATACCAAAAATGTATAAATTTAAAAATATTGCTGGTTCAAAACTTGTAAAATTTTATTTTCAAAATCATAAGGGAATGAACGGATATGATAACGTAAAAGTTATTTAAAGATCAAAATATAGAATATGAAAGTTATTAGTATTAAATTTTTATTCAAACAACCAATCTTGTTGGAAATTTTTTTTCTTAATATTATTTTTCAATGAAGCATAATTTTTTTAATATGTAGATTTGTATAGTTATACTACCAATATTATACTATTTGATGACAATATGAACTAATTAAGCTGAAATAAATACAATAAATGATTTAAATAACCAATCTTTTTTAAATAAGCCGTTATTCACAAAGATATTGTTACTAGTAACAAAGACATCAAAAATATATATTTCTAATAGTTCGATGAATTTATTTTATTTTTTATTAAAGATTTAAAATTAATGTTTCTCTTATAGTAAACGAACAATCTATATAATTCGTTAAGGAAATTATGTAATAGTTTACAAAGTAACATTAATTCCTGAAATATTTTAAAACGTATTATTGTCATTGTCAAAAAAATTGACATAACATTAACTTCCTATTGAGAAAAATAAGTAAAAAATCTATACCAAAATTATGAACCGATAAAACCGACATTTTTTTTTACATTAGCACATAGAATAGTTTGGGCTGCGGTGGTCGAGAGAGTATTTAATTTAGAGAGATTTAATTTCATGATATCTACATGGCCTGTAATGCCAATAGAAAAAAAAGAATAGTTTAAAGAAAGTTTAAAGTGTGACAATTTTTATTGCTTATTAATTTATATAGATTGGATATTCAAATAAACTTTTGCAAACTATTACAATAACATCAAATTAATTCGCTAGTCACCTTTCTATCACTACAGACACAGATAAATTATTAAATATTATTTAGCATATTCTTATTATAAGAATGAATATAAAATTAATTGAAGTTACTAATGAGTGCTTCAACTCTGCCAAGTACGGCATGTTTTATTCTAATTTTAGAAGTATTACAAAATGAAGCTAATTTATTCTTGGAAATAAGTGTGGTCAGTACAACGCTCCAATTGCCTGATCAATCCACTGATTGATGTCATTTACCCTTTTTTCATGGTTGGAATAGACCCGGTCAGGCAAACCACGATTTTTATTCAGACAAATCCCACTAACAAGCTGTCAAACTTATATTTAAACTCAGGTCAAATCAGTTTCTCTTTTACCTTATATTTATGCTACAAAAGAATCAGTGCTATACCTAGATAAAATTTAAAAAAAAATAGAATGAATGAATGAATCTAATGAACTTTGTATCTGGTACATCTGTAAAGTTGCCAAAATATTGTGTTAATAGACTTACTTATGTAATTATTACTAGTTAATTTAATTTTGAATGTTTTTTTTTCTGGTCCATTAATTTATAATGAATAATAAACTACTGAAAGTCCTGTTATTTATATTGTTTTTTCTCTTACAACAGCTATTTGAAAAAAAATTGTAGGTTGACATGAAAAATGCTTGATGCTTTATAGTTTAATAAACAAATAATTTTTTAAAATATTATTATATAGTTACAAATGTAAGTATATAACGATAAAATTATGCAAGTTATAAACAATAATCTATTTGGTTAACTATACGACATCAGTGAATCAACCACGTTTTATTAAATAAAATGTATAAAAAAAATTGCGGTAACTTGTCAATACAGAAGAAATATAAAAGTATAACACGAAAAGAAATAGAATTTTTTTTCACAATTATAAATTAAAGTAAACAAATATATCATTTGTAACAAAATTTCTAAACACTTACAAATAAGTATTACAGCTATTGTTAATAGAGCAATGCAATTATCATTAGATGCACTAGATGTAGTGAATATTACATTTTTACAATAAATAATAAAGCTAGATTGTTTTGAAATATTAGTCTGATCAAATAATTAAATTAGTAAAACAAGATATTAAAAAGCAAGCAGAAAATTTGAAAAAGATTACTATCATGAAAATTGATATAGAAGATAAGCAAAAGAGTGTGTAAAACAAAGTAAACAAAAAAAAAGGTAACAACAAATAAAGTAAATAAAAAAAATAAAACCAATAGGAGATGTAAAATAAAAATAAATAAATAACTGTAAACCAAAATATACTTAGCAAGGCTGATCAACTTTTATTTAACTTCAACTGCCATCATACATTCATCAACAAGTAAGTCTATTTTTTAAATAAAATCTATGAAAACTTTATTAAATTTTGTCAGCAGTCTCTGTACTCTTTTTGGCCAAGTCAATTCTTTATATAACTTTTTGCATCAGTCTTGCTCGAATGATGTCTATTTGTCACCAGTGAAATATTAAATGTTGAAAATGGTGTGTCAACTCTAAATATATTATAAAAATTTAAGTGTGCCTGTAATACCACAATAAATAATAAGATAAAAAATAGAAGAAGGATAATATATGCATTTTGTTTATTTGATTTTTTTTTACAAAATCAAACAATTTCTTATTTTTTTTAAAATGTTTTTATGTCATTATGAATTTCTGGAATATTATTGTTTTATTTAGTTTTAATTTGAACCGTTATAAGGAACAATATAAGGAAATGAACCTTCCACCTTTTTTACAAGGACAGTGCTGCATACCGCGCTCTGTAGGAGCAGCAAGGAAGCCTTAGTTTAAACCTGGCGGGCTAGAACCTTCGGATCGAAGTCGAAAAGGTTGCCGGTCCACTCTGCTACCTGGCGGCGATCGGTCGAACCCGGTCCACGCTTGTGATGGCACCAGGCCACGCCCCTTGGCGGCCATCTTGATTCAGGGCAGTTGCCATGGTAACGACGGTGGCCATCTTGCCACAGCTGCCACTTCCTCTCTATATCCCTATCGTAGCGCGGGCAAAGCGTCTGTTCGATCACCAGGTGATCAGTGCACGTGGGCATGGAATGATGATAGTATGATAGGGGGGGGGCAAGATGACTAATAAATAAGCATATAAATAAACTTAATCTTTCTGGATATGATTTATTATTTTTATATTTTAATGAATCTTAGTTAATAAAACAATATATCGACATGCATAAATATAGGGCAAGTACATAAACTCATCGATGACATAGAAACACGTCTCCAAACTGGGCGATACTACGCCTACAATTGGTGATCTAAGTGCGGAGTTTAATACCTTCCTATAATAAATGTTATGAGACTCCGGATGTTCAAAGTAGCCAATCAGCCGGAATATTTTGTTCACACTTCACTTATAACTGTCATCGATGAACTAACCGCTGAGTTAAGGAACTTATCCATACCAATGTTATGCAAATCCGGATATTCAAAGTAGGATATCAACCCTAATAGTTCCTTCATTCTTCACTTATCCACACCAAAAATCAATTTTTCTATGTAAGACGTATTACAATTTTACTATCAACGGCTTGGTTTAGTAACTCACAGAAATTTATCCTGTTTTAAATTAAATTACCCACATCGTTTGGCATACATTTTTCCCAACGACTCCGAACGATCATTCTCATATCATCATCGTCTCTTAGATTGGGTGCATGATGTTTTGCTTATTGAATACATCTGATTTCTCTGTTCTTCTCATTTTTCTTCAGACCAAATGTTTTATTCAACAGTTCATTTAAAGAAATATTTCAAATTTGTTTTACCGTTGTAGTAAACTACAATATTTATATTTTATACAGAATACTTATTAATCCGGTAAGTATAAATTGCCCTTGTGTTGTTCTGGTGTATATGGATACAGATATCTGGATAAAGAACACATTTTGAACTATTTTAAAGCAGAAGAATAAATAACATTTTCTATTTAAAACAATGTTTAGTAAATTACCGTAAAGGCTAGGTTTGATTCAAATGAATTCCCATGGATTATTCTGTGTAGAAAGAAACACGTCTACAATGAGCGACGAATAGGTATTGAATATTTTTGTTCGCTGTGCCTTTTAGTTTTCCATAAAATGGTAACATACATTAAAGGTTAAGCAATTTTTTGGGAATAGTTTTAAAAAAATACACTGAACATCATACACGTAACGAAGCGTAAGGGAAAATTGTATTTTAATAATATTTAGCAAAAATATACAACTTAATTTTTTACAATTCAACAGTAATTAAATTCAAAAGGTTATCATGATCGGAGAACGGCTAGTGAATCTGACTAAAGGATGCACAGAAAAGCGGATTTCAGGATTTTTAATCAATTTATTATATTATACAAACAATACCATATTAAAAAATAAAATATTATAAAACATACAAGGTTGGTTTCTTCTAATTAAGTCGTTTTTATTTTTGGAAAAACGTTATAATCGTATGCTAATTATAATAA